ATTATTAATTTACTACAAATATGCTGCTAGTTCAGACACACATGTATTTTCCTGTTGGTTCTTTGCAATGTTAATAAAATATATTGTACGTTAATTCTTTATGGGTCATTACTTTGTACTTTTAAAGCAAAGTATTTATAGTCACACACACACAAAAAAAAGATTCTGATAATCGATTTAGCATCGAATCGCAGCCCTCTGAATCGTAATCGAATCGAATCGTGAGGTGCCTAGAGATTCCCACCCCTACTATTGAGTGCATAACTGAACATAATTATTTGAAGGTTGACTTTTTTTTTTGTATTAAAAACACTTATTTTATTGGTCGGATGAAATATGCTAATTTTTTGAGACAGGAATTTTGGGTTTTCATGAGCTGTATGCCAAAATCATCAGTATTAAAACAAAAAAAGACCTGAAATATTTCAGTTGGTGTGCAATTAATCTCAAATATATGAAAGTTTAATTTTTATCATTACATTATGGAAAATAATGAACTTTATCACAATATGCTAATTTTTTGAGAAGGACCTGTATTATCTTCAATGCCCTGGCGATGGCGATATCACCTCTTTTGTAGCAGAAATAAACTGCTGCAGGAAAAGTTAGATGCCTAGTTCCCGTGACGAAACGACAATAGGATTTTTTTCTTCTGGCTTTTGGATGATTGCAGTAAAAAAGCTCTGTGATCAACAAAAGTGTATAGTACTTATAAAGTTTTGTTCATGAAGGTCATCTTCATTTTGAATGTTGAAGCCTAAATACAATTGTAAAAATAAAGCTAAATTTAGGCTATAAATTAAAGGGTCAAGAAACCCCCTGTTTCAGAAGCAGTTAGTTCTCACCATTCACTACATATCCTGTGACAGCTATAATTTAATGGACAAATAAAGAGCCATTCGCATTTGCTTTCTGCATCAAAAATATATATGAACATGCTGTTTTGAAAGTTATTTTGCTGCGGTATATATATATATATATATATATATGCCGTTTGATCGGTTAAAGTGCTGGAAAGAACGGTAACACTCAGTGTGGATGAATCGCGTTTGTGTCGAAAACTCAGCAACTATAAAGAGAACTTATGCGACGTAGAAACTCTTACAAGGCAAAAACAAACACTCGTTTTTGATCCATTAATGCATCTCTCACTTACTGTATGCAATCTCACTGTTTGAAGCGCCTGTCATAGGAAGTCAATGCGTGCTGTCATGAATAATTAAGAAAGGCATCTTCTCAAAGGATGAGGACATGGCAGTCTCATGAATTATGAGACATACGAGTCATTGCCAAACTCTAGTACGAGAAAACGTCACATCCTGTGACATTGACACGAAGACGAATTTAAACGAGGAAGTTGAATATAGTACAAAACTGTTTAAAATTAACTAGTTTTCTCCTACGATCAAAACTAACGGATGGTAACATTGACTTCTATGATGTTCAGCACACATAACGGAGAAAACTTGGTTTAGGGTTTCATGACTCTACACCACATTTGCACGACTGCTAAACTTAATCTTTTAATCTGTATTTAAAATCTACAAGTAGGGAAGTTTGAGTTAGAATACTTTGCAAGAATGTGAGTATAAACACAGCGAGGCTGTGAAAGTGGACTTGAGTTTTCCTGTTTGCGTGATGTTTATTGTCCCCGACAGCCTCTGCAGTCCCATTTAGCCACTTGTTAGTGGGATATTATTACTGATGTTTTTTATGTCATAGAATAAAACTTGAACATTACTTGAGCTTGTATTAAAGCTGAAGTCGGCAAGTCTGGCAGATTGAGTGGACTTAGGCAAAGTTTTGAATGTTTACAACTCTCATAGCCCTCCCCCACTATCAACGAATAGGCTACCCTCCCACCGTGACCGAGTTCATGCTCGTCAGTGCGTGTGCACCAGATTTTCAGTGAACGCGCCCGTCTCATCAGCATCCATCAACACCATGGATTATTTGGAGGTATGGTGTCCTGGCTAATCTACCAATAGATTGCAATTGCTAACGTCATTTATACTCTAAATGAGCTTACTTGATTTTCCGCCATCACTCTTCGTTACTGCGCAAACTTCCGCGAACTTCAGGCGTGTGCATGTGATTGTAACGTGCGTGAGGGGTGGCGTGTGCCCGATCTGTGATTGACAGTTAGATCTCACACCCCCCTGCGCTGATTGGACCCGATGATCCGGGAGCTGTGGATTTTTGCAAAACAAATAACACGGTCCAGGTGGAGTTAGAAGCTCGGGTTTTTTTCTAAAACCACATTATTTATGTTGTTCTGTCGGATTATAGTGTCGATTTCACTGAATATGAACAAAAAAAAATTGCCGATGGCAGCTTTAACCAAAGACTTTATTTCAAGCATTTAAAGTCAGCATGAAATGGAAGTTGTGATAGTTTTTTCTTCCCTATTGTGACGTATTGACATGTGCAATGGCTTCTTGAACTATAAAAAAATTTAGGACGGGACTTGATTTTGTCAATTGAATCGTTGCATCGTTGTAATTTGCTATCACTGCGATGTCATGTGAGCGACAGGTTGCCCCGCTCATACGCCAGTAAACACGTCATCAGAGAAGAGAAGAGATAAGGGCACATTAATTTAAAAAAATAATAATAATGATGTTCTCAGTAAAGTTTTTATAATAAATATTGCAATATTCCATAAATAATAATAATTGTTCATTTTGATTTCATGGGGACTTTAACCAAAAACCCATTCAAAAATCTCATTGATTTCAGGACAGTGGAACGGGAAGTTCAGCAATGCTATCTCCTTTCTGGGTTTTAGTACTAATTCCTGCAACAATATATTTAATAATTATTTTATTTTTTGTTTATCAAAAAAAAACAAAAAACTTTTTTCGGGAAACTATATGTATTATTTTAAAATTAAGCCTAAATGTTTTTACTTGGCTCTTGGTCTTCATCTTTAATTATTTTAATTTAATCAACTCATCTGGCTTCATCGGCATGCTGTTTTGCAGCAGAAGTGCCAGTTTCAAAAAGTACCCTGATTGCTCCATTGCTGCTAATCTGGTGTTTTGTCATTAAAAATTCTGTTTAGGTAGAATTCGGTTAAGATTTGCTTAATGGTCTCACTCTGAATCAGCATTAAAAAGAGAACCGAACAAATATGGCCGCTCTATTGTCTTTTTTTTTGCTGCGCTGAGTCCCGTGTGATCGGCCGATTGTCGTAGCACGCAGTGTTTGATTTACTCCAAATGCTCTTTTCTCTGGTACAGTCTGTTTCTTTTGTTATTATTTTATTTCAGACTGTCCAGAATGATCTTGTCTGACAAAATTCAGGACCAGGAGTGGATACAGATGTAACGGGTATATATTATCTAGAAATAATAATTATTTTTGGCGGACTTTTATTTTGGCGGGTGAACAGGTTTTCGGAGTTGAGTGTGTGCTGGTGAAGAGAAGAGCGCGGAGTATGAGAGGGGGGATCAGACAAAAGTGAGCGTTGTGTCGTGTTCGAGAAGCTCGTTCGAAAAAGGGACTTAAACAGAAGTTGATTGGGCTTTGGTCGGATAAAGGACGACATCATGTGATTTTTGTGAACCGTATCACTTGTTTCGTAGTTTTTGGGAATTTTGATCCGTGAACCGCATCGCATTGGACTGTTGGAGTGACGCAGTAATGTTCCGTGAAGGCTACGAGAACTGTGAGTGCATTAAAAGTACAAGTTTAGCTTGATTGACGACGATTTAAGAGATTTTTCACATTTTTGTTAAGTTTTGGACTTTCATTTTGTTTGAGAAGCACTCTTGAAACGGACGTTTCAACCGTATTGGTCACGCGCACATACATAAGTGTTCTGCACGTGTTGTCGCACGTGAGATGGGAATTGCGGTTCGCAGCTGGTGCTGAACATAGTTGTTTCCGGAGGAGATTTGAGTCTAAAACACTTGGTGTTACCCTGCCATCCAACGACATCTTAGGTGGATACATCTCTGTGAGGTATCTCAGTTTTGTTACCCTCCTGTGATACATTTCATCTCTGACTTATTTTTGATTCATTCATTTTTTTTTCGTGGGACATTTCATTGAGCTTGAGTGATATTGCTACGAAACCTCAAGAGAATTTCAACGCACGCTACGTCGAGACAACTCCCCTCAATTTTTCTATCTATTATTTTTTTTTGTATATATTTTTGATCCAAGGAACTGTGAGAATTCTGTTGAATCACAGGTGAACTAAGGTGAACTGAGTGAGCACAGTTCAGGGACATTTCACGTAAGTGCTCCTCCATATGTGAGATTGCATTGTGTATATTATTGTTTTTTTCAATGTGATTTATTGATCATTTGAATCTGTCCGTTTGAAACGAAGAACTCATCCTAAGTGGTGTTTATATAAGGTTTTTGTTTTGTATTTTATTTTTGAGTGAGGTTTATCTTGGTACAAGTGAAAAGATTAGAGCTTTTACATTTAAAGTGATTGAGAGTGAGTTTAAAAGAAAACACAAAGACCATACAATTAATATTTTTTTTTTTTTTACTTTTTTTTTTTTTTGTGGTCATTAACCCTGAATTGAACATTTGATTACAAGAAAGAAGAAAAGAGACAAAGAATAAATACTGTTTGATTTCATATTTACTTCTTTGTATTTTTGTTTTGTTTTAGAGCTGTCAAGGAGTAGGGGCATCTCAGCTACTTTATTAGACCAGAGGAGGGAGGGGTATATTAGACTGTCTAACCCATTTTACTTTTACTTCAGTGACATTACTTAGGCTGAAGCCTACTCTCGTCGGTCTGTACCCAATAAAGTAGAACATAACATACACCCATTTAGTGTGTAGTGAGATTAAAAGCACTGAAAGCGGGGACTAAGATCTTTTCGTTATTCAGTCTTCCGTGGCAGCACTAATATATTTTCCCCTACAAGACGGGTTAAATTCCCGTTACATAAGTGGCGTCACGAACAGGATCATACTTAGCCTAATTTTTGTTGTTGTAGTATTCTGTCCCAGGTCTGTGAGCAAGAAGAAAAATGGCGGAACTAGAAGAACTGAAGAAGGAGTTCGCGGAAATGCAGAAGAGGTTAACGGAGCAAGCTGGGGCATTGGATCATGCCAGAACAGAACAGCGAGAAGCCCTGGCACTGGCCAGAGCAGTAATGGAGCAGCAAGCATCCACTCGTGCACCCCCAGCAACGATCTATATCCCAAGAGATCATAAACTTACTGATTTCACTGGCACCACAAAACCTGGAGAAGGAAGTGTGGAGGAGTGGATTGTCTCCATGAAATCAGCCTTTCGAGTTATGAAGGTGCCAGAAGAAGATCAGGTGGAGCTGATAAAGCAGCACTTAAAGGGGGAAGCTAAAGATACTGTGAAGTTCATGATGGAAGAAGTGGATAACAGCGTGGAGTCCATCTTTCAGCTGCTCCAGGAAACCTATGGAGACAAGGTACCTATTGGCACAAGGTTGAAAGACTTTTATGATCGAAGACAAGCACCTGGTGAGACCATACGCGCCTATGCTTACGATTTACGAGAAAAGCTCCACAAGGTGAAACGCAGAGAGCCTAGGCGAGTTCCAGATGAAGAGAGTGTGTTGAAAGAGCAGTTAGTCCTTGGACTGAGGGATGATTTCCTAAGAAGAGAGATGAAACGGAGGGTCAAGGAAGAGCAACGCTTGACTTTTGCACAGTTGATGCAGGACGCCATCACATGGTCTGAGGAAGAGGAAGCACAAGCTGAAGGTAACCTGAAGACCCCTGTGCGTGCGAGAGTAGCAGTTCACACTACAGTTGCGACTGGTGACAATCCATCCTCACTGACATTAGAAAAGTTGCACGAGGCAATAGAGAAGATAGCTGCACGGCAGGAAGAATTGTACAGAATTGTCCATAGTCAAGGGAGAGTTGATCCACAGCCTGATGTTATGAGAAGACAACCTCTGAGAAACAGTGAAGGGCAATATATCTGTTACACATGTGGTCAACCAGGTCACACCAGTAGACGTTGTAGACAGTTTAAGGAGTTGGGTAACCGGGGCACGGCGTCATCACCAATGGCCGAAGTATCTGAGGTGTTAAGAGGAGCTTCGTCGGGTGACAATGCAAGCACCAGTGGGTTTTCCGTAATCCGGAGCCATACAGCTGATTGGAATGCAGATATAGCACCAGAAACACTAAGGGATAGTGCTTTTGGAGACTGTTTAACAGTGGATGTGAAAATAGCAGGGGTGCCCACCAAATGCTTGTTGGACACAGGTTCAGAGGTTACCACCATCTCAGAGTCTCACTTTAAACATCATTTCGGAGGACAAGAAATACATCTGTCTTCTGCTAACTGGGTGCGCCTCACTGCTGCAAACGGACTAGACATTCCTGTCCTTGGATGTCTACAGGCAGACATAGAGTGCATGGGAAAGCTGCTTCCAGGGAAGTGTGTTTTCGTGCTAACAGACTCGAACCCCGATGTGAAGGAGATGAAGGGACTGGCTGGAATTGTGGGGATGAATGTGCTTAGTGAATTGAAAAACCTTGTGCTGTCTGGAAAGGATTTGGATAAGGAAAGCAAAGTGAACCAACGTGCAGATGCTAATGTCAGAAGAGTGATAGCAAAGGTGAAAAAAGATGAAAGACTCTTGGGCTCAGAGGGCAGGATAGGATTTGTTAAAGTGTCTGGGAAGCAAGTTGTGATAATCCCACCCTTAAGTGAGAAGATTGTGGAAGGCCACTGCAGTATACCTCATCAAGTGAAGCATCAAGTGTTGGTGGAGTGCACAGGTTCTGTTACCCTTCCAAAAGGATTGTTAGTAGCCAATGTGCTTGCAAGCCCAGAAAAAGGGAAAGTTCCGGTGCGAGTGTTAAATCTCTGTCAAGAAACCATCAGGTTGATGCCGAGATCCAGGATTGCAGTTGTGTCCAAGCCTCAAAAAGTAGTCCCAAAGCAAATGGTGGAATTCGAAGAGGATGATGATGAGTTGCGGGTTAAACGACATGTACAGTGCAGCATTAAGAGTGAGATCCAGCCCGAACAACAGTCAATTCAAGTTCAGATGAATCAGGATGGACTGTCTGAGATGCAACGGGAGGAGCTAAATGCTCTGCTGACACGTTACAGTGATGTTTTCTCCAAGAGTGACACAGATTATGGATACACAACAACAGTGACGCATAGCATACCTACTGGAGATGCTCAGCCAATAAAACAACGCCATCGACGAGTTCCCCCTCACGTCTTTCAAGAGTTTAAGAGACATGTGCAAGATCTTGTCAGTCAAGGGGTACTGAACGAGAGTCGCAGTCCATGGGCCTCGCCTGCAGTCATTGTGATAAAAAAAGACGGAGGTGTTCGTTTCTGCTGTGACTACAGGAGACTCAACCAAGTCACATTCAAGGATGCCTACCCCCTTCCGCGTGTGGAGGAATCCTTGGATGCCTTGGGGAATGCACAGTTGTTCTCAACTCTAGATCTCACGGCAGGTTATTTTCAAGTGGCAGTAAAGGAATCAGATCGAGAGAAGACTGCTGTCACAACACCGTTCGGGCTGTTTGAGTGGACACGGATGCCGTTTGGTTTATGCAACGCTCCGGCCACCTTTCAGCGATTGATGAGTGCAGCATTAGGTGATCTGGCCTTTGATATTCTTTTGATCTATCTTGACGATATTATTGTGTTCTCTGTGGATTTCAAGAGCCATTGTGAGAAGTTAGAGCTTGTGCTCTCAAGGTTGCGTCAGCACGGACTGAAGCTGAAACCGAGTAAATGTTTCCTCCTGAGACCAGAGGTCCGGTTCTTGGGACACATCATTTCGTCAAAGGGAGTTCAGGTAGACATGGACAAGGTTCAGTGCTTGGACGCGTGGCCTTCACCGACGAACGTTAGGGAGGTTAGACAGCTGCTGGGATTTATGAGTTACTATCGTCGATTTGTTCCAAGATTCGCACAGCTGGCAAAGCCTCTACATGCCCTGGTGGGAAAAGGTAACAAAGGCAAGTCCGCAGAAGCGTTTGTCTGGAGTGATGAGTGTCAATCCGCATTCAGCAAGTTAAAGAGTTGTCTCATGTCACCTCCGATTCTGGCTTACCCCGATTTCCAGTGTCCGTTCATACTCACGACGGATGGGAGCCTCAATGGACTTGGAGCAATTCTCAGTCAAAAGCAGGGGGGCGTTGAACGTGTTATTGCTTACGCGAGCAGAGGTCTAAAGGGATCTGAAAGAAATGACAAGTATTACAGTGCCTTCAAGTTGGAGTTACTTGCCCTTAAGTGGGCAGTAACTGAGAAATTTAAGGAATACCTGATATTTGCAAAGTTCCAGGTTATTACTGACCACAACCCTCTTCGCTACCTGGAGACAGCCAACCTCGGAGCAGTGGAACAGCGTTGGTCTGCACAGTTAGCGGAGTTCAACTTTGAGGTGTGTTACAAGCCCGGCAGACAGAACATCAATGCTGACGTTCTTTCTAGGATTCCCTGGGGAATGGAACCTGAGGAGGAGGACGATGGAAAAGACTTCATTCGGTTGACATCAGACGAGGTACGGGCATGCCTGTGGCCAGGTAGAGAAGAAGCGGTTGACAAGTCTGTTGTCAGAGTTGCCAGGCAAGCAGCCATAAGGAAGGGTGTTGATGGTTATAGCTGGCCATCCATCAAAGAGCAACAGAGGAAGGATCCTTGTATAGCGCCTGTGTACAACGCTGTATTCGAGAATAGGAGGATAATGACACGTAGTTTCCGGGATATGGAAACCCAGCAAAAGAAGCTAGCTAGACAGTTGGAGCGTTTGAAATTAAGACATGAAGTGCTGTTCCGAGTGATTACGGACCCAAGAGACGGAGAGGAGATATGGCAGTTGGTAGTGCCTGAGTCTTTACGAGAGAAAGTGTATGGGGGAGTTCATGAACATGGAGGACATTTTGGTAGCAGGAGTACATTAGAGCAGATGCGACAGAGTTACTATTGGCCCACAATGGCCAATGATGTACAAACATGGGTAACCCAGTGTCGAAGATGTACCCTAGCTAAGGATGTATTCCCTAAGATTCGTGCTCCTATGACTTGCACCAACGTAACTGCACCTCTAGAAGTTCTTGCCATGGACTACACCATTCTTGAGAGATCAGCAGGGGGTTATGAAAATGTTCTAGTGCTGACAGACATGTTTACAAGGTTCACTGTGGGGGTTCCAACGAAAAATCAAACAGCACTTACCACCGCCAAAGCCCTCGTACGACACTGGTTTGTCTGCTATGGGTGTCCCGCCCGATTGCACTCGGATCAAGGCAGATGTTTCGAGGCAAACGTAATCAAGGAGCTTTGTAAATTGTATGGAATCAGCAAGAGTCGTACCAGTCCTTATCATCCGCAAGGGAATGCGCAGTGCGAAAGGTTCAATCGCACGATGCACGATATGCTGCGAACGTTACCTGCGGAAAAGAAGAAGGATTGGAAAACACACCTGCCTGAACTTGTGATGGCCTACAATAGCCACGTTCATTCATCGACCGGTTACTCCCCATTTTATTTAATGTTTGGACGGGACGCAAGACTGCCCATGGATGTCCTAGGAGGGTAATGTAGCTGGGAGTGAGAGAGGAGACACAGGTCAAGATGGGGAATCTGAAGGCTCTGACAGTTTGGTGGCTGACACTAGGGGGGTACCTAATCTTAGACGTTCGAAGAGGGAAACCCAGGGTAGAATGCCTGTGAAATACAGGAATGATTACATTCTAAAATAAGGATCCAGAAAGTTTTGTAACTTTTAAGGTCTTAGGAGAAAGAGTTATACATGTACATGTGATGTATTCCTAATATGTTTTTTTGTGTTTCAGAGATGAGTCTGCTGGAGATGTCGATGGAGTGGCAGGGTTTAGCAGGGGGGAATGTAACGGGTATATATTATCTAGAAATAATAATTATTTTTGGCGGACTTTTATTTTGGCGGGTGAACAGGTTTTCGGAGTTGAGTGTGTGCTGGTGAAGAGAAGAGCGCGGAGTATGAGAGGGGGGATCAGACAAAAGTGAGCGTTGTGTCGTGTTCGAGAAGCTCGTTCGAAAAAGGGACTTAAACAGAAGTTGATTGGGCTTTGGTCGGATAAAGGACGACATCATGTGATTTTTGTGAACCGTATCACTTGTTTCGTAGTTTTTGGGAATTTTGATCCGTGAACCGCATCGCATTGGACTGTTGGAGTGACGCAGTAATGTTCCGTGAAGGCTACGAGAACTGTGAGTGCATTAAAAGTACAAGTTTAGCTTGATTGACGACGATTTAAGAGATTTTTCACATTTTTGTTAAGTTTTGGACTTTCATTTTGTTTGAGAAGCACTCTTGAAACGGACGTTTCAACCGTATTGGTCACGCGCACATACATAAGTGTTCTGCACGTGTTGTCGCACGTGAGATGGGAATTGCGGTTCGCAGCTGGTGCTGAACATAGTTGTTTCCGGAGGAGATTTGAGTCTAAAACACTTGGTGTTACCCTGCCATCCAACGACATCTTAGGTGGATACATCTCTGTGAGGTATCTCAGTTTTGTTACCCTCCTGTGATACATTTCATCTCTGACTTATTTTTGATTCATTCATTTTTTTTTCGTGGGACATTTCATTGAGCTTGAGTGATATTGCTACGAAACCTCAAGAGAATTTCAACGCACGCTACGTCGAGACAACTCCCCTCAATTTTTCTATCTATTATTTTTTTTTGTATATATTTTTGATCCAAGGAACTGTGAGAATTCTGTTGAATCACAGGTGAACTAAGGTGAACTGAGTGAGCACAGTTCAGGGACATTTCACGTAAGTGCTCCTCCATATGTGAGATTGCATTGTGTATATTATTGTTTTTTTCAATGTGATTTATTGATCATTTGAATCTGTCCGTTTGAAACGAAGAACTCATCCTAAGTGGTGTTTATATAAGGTTTTTGTTTTGTATTTTATTTTTGAGTGAGGTTTATCTTGGTACAAGTGAAAAGATTAGAGCTTTTACATTTAAAGTGATTGAGAGTGAGTTTAAAAGAAAACACAAAGACCATACAATTAATATTTTTTTTTTTTTTACTTTTTTTTTTTTTTGTGGTCATTAACCCTGAATTGAACATTTGATTACAAGAAAGAAGAAAAGAGACAAAGAATAAATACTGTTTGATTTCATATTTACTTCTTTGTATTTTTGTTTTGTTTTAGAGCTGTCAAGGAGTAGGGGCATCTCAGCTACTTTATTAGACCAGAGGAGGGAGGGGTATATTAGACTGTCTAACCCATTTTACTTTTACTTCAGTGACATTACTTAGGCTGAAGCCTACTCTCGTCGGTCTGTACCCAATAAAGTAGAACATAACATACACCCATTTAGTGTGTAGTGAGATTAAAAGCACTGAAAGCGGGGACTAAGATCTTTTCGTTATTCAGTCTTCCGTGGCAGCACTAATATATTTTCCCCTACAAGACGGGTTAAATTCCCGTTACACAGAGCTTAACCCTCTGCTAAAATATCCACGGCCCCTTGAGGCAGCCAGAGGCTGTTCTCTGAGAACCCGACGGAAGAGGACATTCTGTGCAAAGCTATTCATTGAAGATATTTTTTGTTCAAGAGTTTTTTTCCCTTCCTGAACTGAATATCAATCAACGCTCGCCTCTTTAGTGTGCTAAGGCTTGAGAAAAGAATCACGCCGCCACCAGAGAAAAAAATAAGAGCGAGAGCGAGAAAAATGAGGTGATATTGCCAGCCATCGTGTTTAATGATGCTTTCTCCGAACTGCTAGCGTCTGGGTGTCAGAGACTGTGATTTTACCGCAAACACTACAGCACAGCGGGGTGCGCGGTTAAAGCGAGATGGGTTGGGACGGGGCAGTCAGGTTTAGAGAGTTAGGGGGGCTCGGGGTGGTTTTGGGACCCTCTCAAGGTGCCTCTTCCATGGAAACGCAGCTGGCTCAACAAGATTCCCATCAGTCGACAAATAAGATACAAGCTGGGCTCTGTCTCCGCACAGGCCACACTGTTACCAGGAGCCGACAGCCAATCGCGGCACCCCAGTGGCCTCGTTTCGACAAATGGGTCTTCTCTGCGACCAATCACAGGTGAGTAGCATTGTGACATCACACGTTAATGAATTAGATTCATCGTAAAGCTTTTCAAAGGCTGATTGGCTCTCCAAATGAGTGATTCTGCCTCAGGAATCAGAGCGGCATCGCTGATGGAAGGCCATCTCTCTTCACTATCTTTGTCCTGGTTACGGGATTGCACGGTTGGGGCCTTTTGATCGGTCCCCATGTTTCCCAGCTCAGGATTTGGTTTTATTGTGCATTAGTGCTGACCCTGACCAATCACTTTCAATCACCATAATTCTCTGATTACAGGAAATATGCCATGAGATGGATGAATAGCTCTTAGGTCATTTCAATCCTGGACGGGTTCCAGAGTTTCACTTACCTCTGACATGCCGTCAATCTCTCTTTTTGTCTCTCTCTCTTTTTCAGATGCATAGATGGCAATCGATTCTTCACCAAATGACACTAGAGACACTCTTTATATTGGCATCGGCCAAGATCTGTGCCCATTTGCCAGTTTAAGTGGTAGTTTCCCCTTGAGTCAATTTCAAGTCTTTCAGCCCCCTGACTGAATAATGTGCATTTTCCTGTTTTCGAAAAAAAAATATTGAGTACTATTTAGAATTAATTTTGTGTAAAATAAGTGTTCATTTCTGCAGCTTTTTGTATGTGTTTTATAAAGCACACTGCTCTCTATATGCATCTTTCATTGAAACTTGGATCAATCAACCACTACTGAACATCCTAGTTTATAGATATATCTTGACTTGGATCTTATAAAAATAATAAACCTAAACCATAAATCTCTTCTTGATCTCTATAAAAATAATCTGCTGTGACTTAATGTCAATGGAGGTATCATTGTATGGTAATTTCATGTAGAAACTGGTATGCTGAACACCTTGATCAACAAAGGACAAAGGGGGTTAATTTTTGTGGTATATTTTCCAACTTTTTAACATAAAATCAACTCAAAGATAGTTCTTTCTTCATACTAGGTTTTGGTAAGGCAAAATCTGATCTGGTAAGATAAGTCCAGATTTTCTTTTCTTGTGATTTCCTGCTCCTTTTTGCACTTGATAGAAAAACTTGTGTTGTTTTACGCTTGGCTGCAGGGATATGTTTTTAAATACTTGTCAAGTGCCTGCATGGTATGTCAGTGAGCAAAGCTGTATCTTTTAGTGAGAGCTACATCAGGGTTTCAGATCGCTGCTCTGCAGACTCCAGTGTGAATAACCCATATTTATATTATTCTGACAAATGCAGCAGAAAGTAGCTCTGGATCTTAATATTTTAAAAAGTGGTTTGAAATGAATGTATCTAGTCTGCAGTCTATTAGCCTGGATGCCAGCCCGAACCCCGCCCACAACATTTTTTGGTCGGGAAGTTCAGTCTGGACTCGATCCATTGAGGAGTAATTATGATTGGTTCAGAAATCGTTGGGCCAATCAAATTGCCCGGGCGGGCTTTATTCGATGATGGACAGATGATCTGCAGTTACGTAATCATCACGTTATCAAAGAGTGCTTGGGTTGAACTGATTTCCTTCAAAGATGACTGCAGCTGGAGAACAAAGGTGTATAGATTCCGCAATCGCGTCGGTTGTAAAAGAAATCGTCAGCGCATTAATTTTAAAAGACGAACAGAGAACTGCAATCAAGACATTTGTCGATCGGAAAGATGTGTTGGCCGTCCTTCTTACGGGACTCGGCAAAAGTTTAATTTATCAGCTGGCTCCGATGGTCACTAAGAAGATGGGACGCAATGAAAACCCTGTGGTCCTTTGGTCGCACTCATGGGGGACCAAGTAAAAGAAGCAACACTCATTATTTTACTACTTCTTCCAGCGTGCGTGCAGTTGAGTTCTGTTGACAACTATGCGTAGCTCAACATACGTCATTTACTGCGTTGCTCTGATTGGTTGTAGGTCTATCCAATTAAATGCAGAGTTGTTTTTTCCTGGTTCGGTTAAGACACACCTCATAATCAAAGCCCTATCTATGGAGCAGTATCAGACTCACATTCTGACTAGAATACGAGTATGACGAAGTCAGGCTAGCAGTCTATAGGAGTGGTGCTGGAACATATTAGAAGTTTATCTAAATTGGTCTTTAAATATAGTGTATTTAGGCCAATTTTATGTTATTTTTGGTCTTATCTGCAGATTTAAATACATATGGTTTTGTATATTAAGTAGTTTTGTATTTGTTTGCTGTGAAGTGTCATTTTATCTCACAATTAAAATTTGTAGATGCTTCATTCTGAAAAGTAATCTCATTTAATTATTCACATTTCAACTTGTTCAACTGTTTCGAAGTGTTAAAGTGTTGAGTTATTTAAATTATTAAGTGTTACAGTTCCCATTATTTAAAGTTCCCTTTATTTAAGTTACTCCACATGTTTAAAATAAGTTTTGTGCCATAAAATAAGTGCCAGTTTGAATTTAATTTAATTTCATTTATTTATAAAGCACAAATAAACACAATAGAAGTTGGCCACTGTGCTGTACAAATGAATGATTTGTCATATGTTATTTTCTGACTTCTGACGTTTCATTATTATTTTTTGCTGCAGACACTTGAAATGGTGACGTGAGTGAAAAGATCCACATCCTCGTTAAACATGATTTGAATTCTCCACATGCTCAGCTCGCCTCTCCTCAGGTGACTCAGCCAGCGCAGCAGCTGATATCTGGAGTTATTAAGAGCTTCTGGAGAAGGTGACTAAAACACTGAACACATTTCCTCATAGTTAACATGAAATGGTGGCCCCTCTTACTTCTGTAATGTGTTGTATTTTCAAGTGAAACAGAGAATGTTTGCACAGAACTTTTATCCATTGTAAAATTGATGGGATTGTGAAAAGCTATGGGGCTCTGTTTAGAACAGAATGCTAGCTGAATACTGCACACTATATACTACATGCTGCCTATGTTTTTTAAATAGTAAATGAAACATTAAACATTATTCCTCTATACATTATTCAAACAGTGATACAGTACAATGTAATCACGTGACCTCATCAATTTGAAGTAGAGTGTTCCTGTAGCTCAAACAGTAGAGTATGGTACTAGCAACATCAAGGTCATGGGTTTGATACCCAGAGAACGCATGAACTGTTGAAATGCATACCTTGAATGCAATGCGAGTCGGTTTGGATAAAAACGTCTGCCGAATGCAAATCTAAATTGCACGTTTATTTTCGGCATGTGGCAATTTATCATTTTGCAAATAAAAATGGTCATTTTGCATTTTTAATCCAATTTGGTGTACCTTTTGGCAGTCTGTTAATAAAATAATGCCAAGAATGAGTTTAAAATCACAGCTGATATTACTTGCAGTTCATCTGTCACATTGGAAATGAAAGTTGTTGTTGTCAAGTGCACAATGTTCCATGTTGTAAACTGCTCATTTTCACAAACGTGGTAAGTGATAGTGGGAGTAGTTAAAGCGGTGGAGGACAAAAATAAGTGGGCTTGATGATGTCAGTTGAAAAGAAAAGTCATTTCAGAGGTGGAGCAAGTTGATTTTGATAGTTTAAATGACCAATTTTCACAAAAAGGGTTAGGGTTTTTTCAAGAAGAGTAAAGCAAATTCATATATTCTCAAAGATTTTAGGAAGGTTAATATATATAATAATTAATAGTTTAAAAATCAAATGATTGTCTGTCTCTCTTCTCTGCTTTCAGCAGTGCTGCACTTACTCTAGACACACGTCTGTTTAGTGGTTATGTCTGCTTAAACACACACACACAGGCTCTCTTACACACACTTGCCGTGTCTGACCCCCAGGTCACGCTGAAGTGACTTTGTGCCCTGTTTGTAACTGGGCCTCTTTGAAAGTGGGCCTCGCATTCCTGCTCCCTCGGACGGGGGATGTCCTGCTTATTACCAGCGAGTAGGAAGTTTCTGCCGTTAGGGATTATGTGCCGTTTCCTCGCCCAGAATCTTTCCGCTTGTCCCCTCCCACTCTTGAGAAAGCAGCGAGTCCACAAACTAGAAAACGGTGCGAACTAAATACCTGCCTCTCTGACCACCAGCCTCAGCCTTTCAGCCCCGCTCATCTGCGCTTGTGCGATTGCTGGGAGGAGGCATCCGCGTTCCGTCCGCTTTTGTGTGGTTGTACAGAACTGCTGCGGTTGGGAGGAGGAGGAGGAGGAGGTGGAGGGGAACAGCTGCTCCCCACACAGAAGTCGGTTTCCTAGCCTGACAGGCAGCGAGAGGCAGGCAGTTTTCCCGGGGGCCCTCGGGTTGGTTCGCCAGTCTCCGGAGCTCCGGCTAGGAGGGAGATTTTTATGGTGGCGGCGAAACACGAAATGGACCAGAACTAGTAGGATTCTTTCCTTCACAAGGCCAGGCACTCGTGTTCAGCGTGAGTACTATGCTGGGGGGGTTTTTGTTGCTAAAGTTGCATGGACACAAAGGATCGTACAGTCCTTAATGTTCTTTTTTGTGCTGTTTTGTTTGGCTTCTCTTTGCCTCTCTGAACCGTCAAGAACTCAGTTTCCTGTGAGAAACAACTCAGGCAGTTTATCACTCGCATTGAGCTGCAGGTTTTCGTGAAAAGGGAGCTTTGTGCTTTTGAATTGCAGCTGGGCTAAAGGGTCACGGCCGGAGGCATTGGTGCTGTGTGTGCATGTACATACCAAATACGGACTACGATCTGATAAAGACCGTTTATGAATGTTTGTAAATCCTCTAGTATTGCTTATGGAAGTTATGGGACTCGACGGCATGCTTTGAACTTGGCAGAGAGTGAGAAACTTTGCGTAAACTGTTGAAAGGACTGTACGGAGAGCCGCTCGCACTGTTACATACTTATGGCTGCCGGGTTTTGAATCTGTAACAGTATTTAAGGACATCTCTGAACTTGTTCATTCATTTTTTTGCCAGAATATTTTTCAGAGAGTGCATTAATCTTAAAGAAATGTATATATATATATATATATATATAATATATATAAATCATATATAGAGGCCCTTTTGTTTACCTTTCTAAGCAGCGATTTCATTCACAGAAGCTAAATGAATGGACAATATTTAGCTGAAATGGGCAATTCAAGCTAAAAAAATGTACTTGCTTGGTAATTTATTCAGGAACTTTGGCAATAGATCAAATGTGCTTTGTTGTAATATACAATACATATTTGTACTAATGAATGTCTGCTTTATTATTTGAGGTATTTCTCAGTGTACAGTAATTTTAGTCAAAAAAATTTTTGTGTCAAAAAGTATCTTTTGTTTGGTTCTTTTCAATCTGAAACCTGCTGGTTACATTTATTCACATTATTTAGTTTTTTATACAACCTGTCTGTCTGATGCTATGGCACCTGTTCTTCCAAAGCCGGAGTCTCGTAAAATGTCTTTTTCTTTAAGAAAAGCCTCTGTTCACCTTTTTCTGTTGCCCACTTAGACGACCTTGTGTCACAGGAATGAGATGTTTGGACAGGCATTATCGTACGGC